GCTGCTGCTTGGTCAAGTCGGCTGACCTGAGGACAGTGCGGAGTGCTGCGACGTCGAGTTGCTCACCTTGAAACCCCATCTTGGCAGCAGCCCGCTCTGCGAGGCGATCGTGCCAGGCAATCTCGAGCTGCTTGGCAATGTAGGCTGGGGAGGTTCCTGGGAGGGGGTACTCAAGTCCTGCAGGAGTCACGAACCGAAAGGGCCCCTGGAACGACCACCCCGCCCTGGCCAACGAAAGGGCCGCCGCACTTAGAGGGCCCCTGCAGGAGCCCCACGCTTTGGAAACCCTCGGCAAGACAGCCTCACCCCAGAGGCTGAGCTGCTGGAGACTGGCCACGGCCTTGTCGGGTTGGGTTTGGGCCTCCCAGACGAGACGGTGCCACATGAGCGCGGGCCCGAGGCCCGCTTTCCACAGGGGGTCCTGGAGGATGAGGAGGGCGAGAGCACGGCTCCTCGAGGCACACCTAGGACCTGCCGCGGCTAAGTACTGAGACTGGGCCTGCGCGAGCATCGTGTTGTTGATACCCGTGACCTCCACTCCGAAGGTGGTGGCCGCAGCCAGGCCAGTATTATACAGCTTCGTTCCGTTGCCTCCAGCATGTTTGATCATTTTAATGCGGGTCATGCGTTTCTTGATCTTGTTTATGCGCCCCAAAAGCTTCCTTCCTCTCCTCCATCTCCTTTGGGGTCGTCCAGCTCCGCTTTCGATGCCGAGGTTGGGTCCTGAGATGTCCGTGGAGGGCCCCGCGAGCGTCCCGAGGGTCTCCCGAAGCTTGTTTTGGAGTTCCTGGCTGGAGGCTAAAACCTGGCTCCTCTTGTTAGCAATCTGGCATTTAAACTCGTGCTGGATACAGGTGGCTAAAGACCTGGCCGCCGAACTCATCTGGCGAATCACTGCATCATAGCTCCTGGCATGGCACTGCAGCAACAGATCGCCGATAAACATCGCAAGACGGACGTGGTTGTGCGCGGCCGTCCACTGGTCAAGGGGAGCGAGCACATACATTTGCACCAGGCACGTCGCCCACCCGCACCCAGCAATTAGTCCCCTCCACGCCTTGCCGGCACTGACACACACACACATCTTGCATGGCAACAAACCTGGAACTTCCGTACTGAGCGAGGATGACGCGGAGCACGCAGCACGGGAAACCAGAAGCTACAGCACGCTTGGCGAGGCACTCGCGGTCAACCTGTTCATAATAGTTCGAGAGGTCCCATAGAACTTGAGCGGAGCGTTGGGGTTCCTCACGACACGCATGATATTCACATTCGAGCGACTGCGCATAGACGAGTTCCACGATGGAGTGCCCCGCCTGGCGTGCGACGCAAGGTCTTTGTGGTGATATTCCCACTCGCGGGCCGCAGACCTTCGCAGACGGGCCCACACGCGATACAGAGCAGGGAGCATGCCAATCGACCGAAATGATGGTTTTGCATTGATATATTCCTGCTGTTTGAGTTTGAGCATAAGAGTAGAGATAGCACCCTGCAGCTGCGATGGCATGTGCCCGATCTGCTCAATAAGCTCGATCAACGCACAGACTAGGTCGGCTTGCTCGTCGTCGAGCATGGCGAAGTGACGTGGATGCACTCCGTCCCAAGTTGAGGCCGTACTGCGCGGAAAACTACGAGAAACCTTGCGGAGGCGCTCGGGGGTGATGGGTCACAGGGCCACTCTGTCGTCGGTCGGGGGAACCCACTGCGGAGGGCCTCGGGGTGGACGTTCCAAATCTCGGCGAGTCTGTCGGCCTCAACCTGGAGGATGTGCTGCGGGCGCCCAGAAAAACGCTGGCGATGCACAACAGAGACTGGCTTCCAGGCTTCGAGCTTCTTCGTCCACCTGTGCGCCCATCCCACCCCGCCTCTCATAGAAGATTGCACCCAATCCCTCCACTCCTGCCCGTCCTTACTGTGCTCGGCGGCAAGTTCGGAGTCGATAATCTTGCCGACCTGCTCGAGCAGTTCATCTAAAATCTGGATGCCCAGCGCAGTGTTGAGCCTCTGCGCCTGGAAATCCTCATGCAAGAGTCCTGCAGATATACGAACTTCCTGCAGCCCCTGGGCCAGGGCAGGAGAGGTGTTAAAGCTATCTGGGCTGTCTTCCAAATTGTCCAGGGTGCCCCGAAATCTCTGGAGATCATCATCCTGGATGCCGCGCCGAAAACCTTGCAGCCGATTTTGGAGCCACCGAAGGGGCCTGGAGTAGGCCGTCCAGCCTTTACGTCCCTGGGAACACTTAGCACTCGCCGAGACCCAGTGGATCTGGGGGGGGGGGGCCCTGGAAGTTCTGCTGGGTTTGAGGGGGGTGTCCGTTTTCACACTGAGTGTGTGTTCAAGGTCCTGGACGAGGGTGAAGTACACGTGGTCCAGGACGGTGGGGCGCTGCTGGTCGGAGAGGGGCTGGGAAGCATCTCCGAGAAGTTGGATCGCATAATCTACCACTGCAGCTGTCTGATGCCAACTTACCGACGGGAGCTGAGGTCCTATGGGCGTCCTAGTGGGGAGCTTCTGGGGCCTGACGAGCGTCG